CATATTTGCTGCAGTAGGTACATTCTCACTAGTAGAACTTTCACTAATGAGAAGAAGAAACTTGGAATATTGATCACTTGTAAGATAGTGAACATCACTACCATGAGCAGACTCAGAAGGAACTACAGTATTACTATTAGAACCAACAGAGGATGAATTTATAGAAAAAGATTTATTTTGAGTATTACTTTCATTTTTTTGTTTAAAATCTTTTGGATAACCAATCAATTTATAACATCTTTCTATTGTATGACCTTTAAGATTACAATGTTTACACTGTAACCCCTGATTTGTAGACCTATTTTGACTTTGTCCTCTTTTAAATTAGTAACCTTACTATTAGAAACAGAGACCTGTGGTTTAGATGAGGTATGAGATCCCAAAGAACCATTCTTTTGAAGAGATTATTCTCTAGAAAGAATAGAAAAAGCACTTTTGACATTAGGTAAAGGTTCCATTAAAAGAATGTGACTCTTAACTTGATTATATACCTCATCTAGAGCACTCAAAAATTGCATTAGTTTCATTAATTTTGAATGATCACTAAGCTTAGTAGCAGCCTCACACACGTATTCAGTTAAACTAGTTAAACCATCAAACTCCTTCCATAAAGAATCAAGTTTACTGTAGTAATCAGAAAGAGAGGAGCCATTCTGTTTTAAGGTGTTAATTTGTTGATGGATATTAAAAATCACAGAACCATCAGCCTTATTATAAGTCTCAAACAATTCATACCAAATATCTTTAGCCTTATCAGAATAAACATGACTAGCATATATAGTTTCAGAGATTGACCCTAATATCCAATTACACACAACAACATTAACACGTTCTTATTTAGCAGATTTTGATTTATCAGTGTTTTCAAGAGTAATAGTACCATCCACAAAACCTAATTTATTCCTAGCCTTAAGACCACGAGACATAGCACTACGCCACAAGCGATAATTTTCATTACCAGTCAACTTAATTATTATTATAAATGTAACTGCATTATCAGAGGGATGACATATAGAAGATCATCAAAATCAACTGAACTATCTTTACGAGTACCACTCCCTTCAGTTGTTTCACCAGCCATGGTTATTCATAGAAAATACACAAACACAAGCAAGCTTAACAAACAAATAAAGCAACAGAAAAACAGACACTAGTGTTGATATAACATCTAGATGGTCACACAGTATGTCGGGGCCCAAGACAATCAACATAGAGTCAATATCCGAGAAAAAATGCAAAAACACACAAAAAAATATCTGGTGTACCATAATAACCAAGATCTCCCACAATTACTATTAAAGAAATAGAAAGAAAGGAACAAGAAACCCTCACAGTGCAACAGCAAATGAGATAGTTCAAGATCGACTCCCTGAATCCATTCCCTACAAGGGTTTATCGGTGATGAAATCCGACCCCAAGAGGATTATTTCAGATTAGAGGGATTAATCGATTGCTTCCAAAGTTTTAATCCAAAAGATCATCAACAGCAAGATTTGAACACGTACAACAACCTGCAAGATGAACCAAAAATCTCGCGGTACCAGTATCTCAAATAATCACCCCAAATAAGGGAAAAATAACAAAAAACAGAACCCTAAATCAACTCAGATCAAGAACGGAAACGAACTTAACAAAGTGGAAGACAAACCTTCACAAATTGTTGAATGATGAACACCACAACTGAAGCGTCAGGATCAAAACAACGAGCCTTACAGCTCTGATACCATGTTGAAATCAGACAAAATAATTTTCCTAACATCTTCATTTCTTATATCATTAGAGGATTAAGAAACAGAAGGTTTTCACAAACTTACAATAGAAACCTCACTACATAAACCCTAATCTACACTCACAACTTATCACTCAAAACCTAATCTAATCAAACAACTGATATTACATCAGAACGCAATATTTAACTCATCTAGATCAAAACAAGTCAAGGAAGCCTATCACAATACGATCGAGACTGGGAGAAAAACAAGAGAAAACCCTAATCGTATGAACTGGAAGATAAGAGATCATCTACAACTTCACTCTCTCTCTCTCTCTCTCTCTCTCTCTCTCTCTCTCTCTCTTATTTTATACCAGAATCTACAAATACGGATCCAACTCGATCCAAAACCTTGACCCGCGCCTTTTCCTTCCCTGCATTTACAATTTAATCCAAGAAAACATATTTTGTGTACAATATACCCTCTATTTACTTTATAAATAAATATGAGATTGTTTTATTATTATTTCCAAACAACCTAACAACTATTAATTACAAAATAATAAATTAAAAAGGCCAAAACATACTTAAATACATAAACATAGCAAAAAAAAAAAAAAAAAAACTAAAGAATTTTACATTTAAAAACTCTTTTAGATGCAAAGTGTAGACATTTTCTGGGAACATTTTTAAAAAATAACAATCACAGATAATTGAATAACAAAAAAAAACATTGAAACAAAAACTAAGAGAGTACAAATTGGGTGTTGTGGTTGTGGCTAATATCCTCTAACCAATTGGAAAAGCTCAATACAAATATCTAATGTTTAGAAAGAAAGATGAATCGAATTAGGCATAATCATATTTACAAAAATTGAGATTCAATGGAAAAATCAAATTGCACATATTAACATTTACAATAAGATATATCAGAGATTAACATAAAAAATTAAATTTCAAGAAGGCTAGAACTTACATAGATTTACAAATCATAATTAGATTCTCGAATTTTTCATATAAAAGACATCGATTAGCGTGAATAAGAATTAATAAATGAAAGAAGGAGAAGTTACTATTAATTGTTGGGAGTTGTCTTCTGTGAATGAGATGACGTTTGGATTTTCCATACAAATCGAAAGATGACGACGCCTTGGAAAGTGGAAATGCAGGTATGATTATCGCTTCCACTCCCGGTTTTGGACTTGGCTCCTCACCATATTATAGTATCGAGCCTTTGAAAACTAGTCCATTAGGCTTAAAAATAAAGTGTTGTCATTGTATAACCCTATATAACAAAATAAAATGGGGGCCCTTTGGGAATTGGGGCCACATGGCAGTCGCCCAACTTGCCCAAGCCCATGGGGTGGCCCTGGGTCTCTCTCATTCCCATTATATATATATATATATATATATATATATATATATATATATATATATATACACACACACACACACACACACACACACACACAAACACATAAAAATAGGTTCATGCGAAAACATATATACTTTGCGAAAATGCAAAAACAAAATTTATCTTATAAAAATCAGACACATGTACTTTTAAAAATTATAATTTATTAGCAATAAATTAAAGATAATAAATTTACATGTGTTATGATAATATAGATTTAAATGTGGTTTTAACAACTGTTTTTTCATGTCCTTAACTACTTTTAAATTCAAGTTTTTATAATAAAAAACTCAAAAATATGTTTTGCTAATATTATATATATATATATATATATATATATATATATATATATATATATATATATATATATATATATATATAAGTTATAATGTGAATGTCATTTATTGTGTGGTCGTAAGGACAATTTTAGACCAGTAGATTAAAAAAATGAATGACTACAATATGAGGGTCTATGATATTACAATGAGATAACATGTATTATATAATCATTCAAATTTCATTGTAAGAGTATTTTAGTCAATCAAACTACATTTAAAAAAAGAAAATTTTGGATTTTAAGAGTTAATTGGTCCTATTAATTTTAAAAATCCATTTTTTTTTCAATTAATTTATTTCAATTCTAACGTAATATTTAATCATAACCAATTTTATTTTGTTAGAGTAACATTCTATGAAAACTAGGTTGGGAACCCCGCGTTGCGGGGGTCGGATGCGACAACTTTTTCCGTTGTTTGTTCTTTGTAAATGTTAGTTGATCAACTATTTGTTTATAGTTCGAGTATTGTTATAGGGAAGTAATATTGTTTTGTCAATAATTTTAGGTAAAGTGGTGATAACAAAATAGAAGAAACGACCTACACATTTCATCGAATGCCTGGTGGACGCCGATTAAAAGTTCATCCATAACAGTAAAAACATAGATATTATCTCCAAATCTTCCTGACAAAAACAAAAAGTTACAGAGTAAAGAGCCAAAACAATAAACCCTGAAGAAACAAACACGAAAACTAATCTTGGTGCGAGAAGATGTCAAAAGCTTTCTGCGAACTGTATATTCAACTTTCACCCATGTGAATCTACTGCCACTCCTAATTGAACATCATCACACAAATGAGAAAGCAACCAAGTCCCTGTAACAAACAAAGTAACACAAAAAATCTCTTTAACAACCAACAACCAATACTTAGAATCTAATCTAACGTATAACTTGTATCAAACCTGTTTGTGTTGATGTATTCTGGAAACCAACAGAACAAATACTGATAAGGTATTAGGAATAAAATATCATAGAATTTTTGGGGACTAATACTTAAGAGTAACAAACATGTGTCGATATGGTTTCACTAAAAGAAAATGAAAATGAACACCAACAACTTTTTGTCCGACAAAGGTGTTATAGGTCCATACTGTAACGGTGACCCTGCATAAAAATTAAATGTTAACATTAGAAAACAAAAACCTATGATAAAACGACAACATATAAATTCATATTATATGACAAACACATACATACCATATCATATATTCATAATTGCATAAAGAGCAGGTCATACACATACATAGAGATTAGGTGTCACAGAAAATATATGGACCAAAACATACACATACATATAAATTAGATCTTACACACACATGGCAGCTAACACACACACATACACATGACATCCCACATATAAACCCAGAAATCAAATTAGTGGCTACATGGCTTTAGGGATTTTTACCTAACAGGTTATGTTCACTTGTGAAGTAAAATAAAGGCAACACAAGATCATTGGATCGAGAGAGATGATAGTAGCCGATCACTTATGGGTGGAAGAAGTGTTCGAAGAGCCAAGCACAAAGAATGGATACATATCACTCAGGCAACCCACGTTGAGGACACCATGGGTGGCTATCCATCATCGTAATCTGTTGGAAAGCCCGTTGTTGCCTCAATGTCTGATCAAGAACCCTTAATCTGGGAGTCTCTCCTCTCATTGCATCAAGGGAAGAAATGTCTTTTTCTCCCATCGCCTTCTTTGTCACCTTGATCTGACTTACAATTCCATCTCTTAAACACCTAAAATGTCTTGACATTGCCTTTGAAGTGAAAGATGAATAAACTATTGTTGCACCAACAAAGGGTGTTGTTTTCATTTCAGATGTATGCTTCAATTTATTTTTTCCGGTATCCAATTACTACAGTTGTTTTCCTTTATCCTACTACATAAAACCTTTATACAAAACAATATGTTAAGATAGTATCTTTTATAAAACACATTGAAAGTTAATATATACAAATAAGCAAAAAATAAGTAAATAATCAACTATGTACTCAATAAAAGATTCGGGAAGGTGAATGCACATCTCACAATTATCAGTTGTCACCATCTACAACAGATGCCAGATACTGCAGTGCAAAGTTTGATGTTTCTGTCTTTCCAGATCCACTTTCACCCCCAACAACAATAGACTGGGTTTTACCATCTGGAAGAATTATCAAGAAAGAATATTCACACTATGAATTTTGATCCAACAATTGAATATGAACTGTTTATTGAATCTCACATTTCATCATATTGTTGTAAGCAGTGTCAGCTGTAGCATATACATGAGGGTTCACGAAAATCTTGTTCCTATAAGTAGTGACATAATCGTCTCCATAAATTTGAACATCTTTGAAGGGATTGATTGCTAATAGGACGGGTCCCGCCTTACTCTGCAAAAGCAAACCGATGTCTAAGCCAAAGAAGTAAAGTAACCACATTGCTTTTTGAATTAACCACATCAAGACATCTTTTTTCTGCTCTTTCATTTACATTTAGATTTTTCATTTTATTTCATTTTTCGGAATACATATTTTTCTGCTCTTTGAAGGAATTGATTGCTAATATTTTTTTTTCTGCTCTTTCAGCTTCTCATTTTATGTCAAACACATATTGTCCATCTTTTATTTCAGACTTGGATCATATTCTATTTTATTATTGAACTAAAAATGCACAATTTCATATGTGAAATAATGGCCTTACTAAATACTTACTTTTTCAAAATTGCATTGATCACAGTGTCCTTAGCAGCAAGCAATGCTGGAGATGTCTATATTTATCAACAAAATTGCTAACCACGGGCCCCATAAGTCAACTATACTGCTATAATGAAAGTCAAAGGGGACAGAATATGATGTGTCAGTTAAGTAGGGGTAGGGGACCCACCATATGAAAATTTACAACACATGTGACACTTGCTTGGGGAAGTAAACGCAAATACCGCTCTTCAGCTAACTCCAAGGGAGTTAAGATAGTCAGAATCACATGAAACAATAAAACTCACACAACACTGTTAGTGTAGAATTTGTATCAACTCTAATTCCATATTACTGAGGTAAAAAGACCAGACCTCTTCTTTCATGTCAAATTTCCGAGAAGCTGATTCCTTGACTATTGAGCAAATCCTTCCTTTTGAATGTGAATCAGCACTGAAAACTTAAGAGAGGAAATTATTTACTGTGTATTGATCCACTTCGTCACTGCAACAGAGACATCACATATTGTAAAGGTTAAATCTCTTTTTTTACAGAAGAAAAGTTATTGAATGTGAACTGGAAGCTTGGAAAAAGTTATCTGTACATGAGAGTCCTTAGTTTAAAGTATGTTGTGTCATCGAAAAAGAGACGACAATGAGATAATCGTCCAACACATCCAATTTCCTATAAAGATTAAATATTTTTCTTTAAATCAATTAATCATCAAAATTCTAACTGATTGATTGATAGTTATATGAAATGAACCTGGACGTATTCTTCAAAGCTTTTAGGCAAACTGTAATAAATATAAACAAAATCAAGAAAACCCATGAAAAAGCAAAAACCAATAATTACATGATATGAAGTTATCAATGTATATTGAATCCAAAGGAACCGAAGAGCAATAGATATACACCACCGGTATGCCCTAAAACGTCATGAGAAACATAATATTAGTTGCATGCACAACTGAACCAACTGTTAATGGTCTTTTAACAGGAAAAATAGAGATTTGTTTGACTACCTGTAAAAGAAGGTTGTGACAATTACACAATAAGCCCTAAACTGCATTCGAATAATTCTCGTACAAAGTTAACGTCGTAATTCTTTGCTTCTGAATCTATATTAAGTAAAATTGAGGTACATACGTAGTTTATTGTTACTCATATGATCGGATTACGCTCTCAAATATGAAAGAAAAAGAAGATGATGTGTTACCTACCATAAAGGGATATACTGCGACTCTTCGAATACCTATAATTCTACTTCCGATGATTATGAAAAATCGGCAATCAAACCCAAAAACTCATCTGCTCGGATTACGCTCTGAAATATGAAAGAACATGAAGATGATCTGTTACCTACTGTGAACGGATCTACTGCGACTCACCGAAGACCTGTAACTCTACTTCCGATGATTATGAAAAATCGGCAATCAAACCCAAAAAACGGCAAGCAGCTGGGGTTTTGTATGTTTTTTGGTTTCGTTTGCCACTGATTCTTCATTTATTATTGTAACAGGTCGAACGTTGTTGATGAGAACAAATTCAGTGAAAATAGAAGAAAAAAGAAAGGACAACAGAGTAGGGTTTCGATTTATGAGCAAAGGAAACCCAACTTAACTTATATGCTTTGATTGTTCTCGACTGTTTCCGACAGAGGCAAGGAAAAAACGAAAAGAAAACAAAAGATACGGGAGGCAAGCAACAAAGGTTGTACCTGATTTGAAATCCTTGAATGTGTGCTTCCTCCGGGTTCTCATCTCTGAGCTAGATTTGGGGAAGAAAGGAAGAAACCCTAAGTTTCTTTCTTTGAAATGTTGCTAGGTATGTTGGAATCAGTTGGGTGCATCGTCTCGTCTGTAGATTGGAGAGCTGGAATGGGAAGATATTGGATAAGGATGCCGGAAGGATCCGGAAGCTAAGCACAGCAGTCAAAGCACAATAATTTAGGATGGATAAAGATAACATAAGGGAAACACGTGGGTTTAACTTAAAAGAAAGAACAAATAACACCCTTAAAGAACAAATAACATCCAATCAAAGAAAAAATAAGACCCAAAAAATACCAAGGGTCATTTTTGCCAAAAAGGACACAACTTCACTGTTCCTAAAAACTATCCACCTTTAATATATATATATATATATATATATATATATATATATATATATATATATATATATATATATATATATATATATATATAAGAATGTCAACCATAAGAAACTAACAACAAAAGTAAGAATGGATATAAAAAACTAAGTACAAAAGTAAGTACGAATATCATATCATTCATAAATCAATCTCCAGTCCAATAACATAAAATTTGAATGGTAAAGATGTTAAAGTAAACCATATTCTTACATAATACATTTACTCTTGAATAGTTTTATGAGAATGAACTTAAAATACAATTAGAAACTGAAATACATCAAAAGAAAAAAAAAACTTAAAAAAAATTCTTGAAATTCTTAAAAGAAGCATCTCCTTCTTGGTTCGTTTCCAACATGTATGTAATCAAGCCAAAAAAACCCTTCATTTTTTTAAAAATAATTTGACATTCAAACATAATAAGAGGTATTCTGTAAAAATAATGTAGAATTCTTTTAAACTTTAATTACAAAAAAACATATGCACACACAAATAATAAAAAAATAAAACTATATATTCATCATGAATATTTGAAATTTCCAACCTGATTTTTTGGAGTTTCAAGGGGGTTAAGGATGAATAGAGAAGAAAATTTTTTGACACAAAAACTACACCAAGTAGATGAAAGATTAAAAATATGTTCTTTAGACCTTAAAACTTCCCCAGATGGAACATTGGATACTGAAAAAAAAGATGTAAATACAAAAATATTATGACGAAGCAGTTACTGAGGGGGTTTCAGGGAAGACCTATATGGGGCACTTTTTGGGTGTGGGATGCTCGTTTAACCTTTGTATTAATCTCATTCCTTATTTACATGGATGCACTGCATTTTCAAAAGCTTCATATCAACACATTAATGCATGATTCTTCTAATCATCTTGAAGCACTAAGAATTTGATATAATCCTAAGAACAATAGTTTAAATTCCGAATTAGATAAAATATTAAAAAAAAACCACAAATAGCCCTTTAACGTACATAAAAGAAAAGATCAAGCATAAACAAATTTAGTAAACTAAATTGTTAGTAATGTAATTTTACCTTCTTGGGTCCATACTTCACACTTTCTATTCTACTTGCTATTTTGCGAGCATACCTATGAATATATGTTTACATTGTTAGAAAATATCAAAATAACAATAAAAACAAACTTGGATAGATTCAAATATTGTGTTTATCAAACACTTTTCGAAATCTGTAATTCGTCCCTTTTGCCTGGGGCACATGAATTCAGAAGTGAGATAATCCAAGAACAAAGCAATGCAAATTACATGTCTAATTCGACTTAAAAACACAAAATACCTTGTTTGATGTGTTCTTGAGAGATAGAGAAATTATGATATAATTTCTAGCATATGAATGTTCAATCATTTTTTGGAAACATCCACATATGATTTATACTTGAGGGAAAAGTTGTTAAAATCGGTTAGACCCAAAATCACGCAAAAAAGGTAGTTATTAGACAAAACCGATATCTACATCATCATGCATGGCTGGAGTCTCACATGATACAAAACTCTCTTTAGGTTTAGGGCTTAACTATTGGACCCACGACCATGGGTTCTTTCCACTGGACCCCTCTAGGGGCGCTACCCCTAGACCCCACCAATGTGTTGCAGCCCCTTGGAACCCTACACATAGGGACACTGCCCATGGACCCTTATATTCCCGAGTTCACATTTATCACACTGAGTATGCACCTTAGACATCCAAGCTCGGTTAGTAAATGGAGCTCGACATATCTCATTATTAATAACAATCACACCAAAATATGTTGATAACACTAAAATCACTAAGATTCCTCCCAATTTTAGTGTAATTCTTAATTAACTAAAAAAAACACACAAAATCAAACTTATGAATAAATGAAAATATCTTGAAGATCGAGTTTTCACATTAGTATAATATGCATGTAAAATACTCGAGAATCAGGGTGTCCTAAGGATTGAACCCTTAAACTAATTTGAGTAATTGAAGATACTATATATTAAGTTAAACACAATATCTAATGTTTCATACTTGACCCTATTATAGCCATGTGTCCAATCCATTTGTGAGTGCATAAAAGCCTAGCCTAAGCTTTCTGAAGCGACAACACTTCACACTCACATAGGTAGTTGTAATGTCCCCAAAAATAAGACCCAAAATTTTCATTTTTGATTTAATAAAAAAAATTAATCCAAACAATGTTATTCAACCCTAAAATATCAAAGTATGTTACTACATCAAACCATATCAAAGTAAATCTCAAAATGTGGAAAAATGCGGTGTGTGCTCTGCAATCATTCCATGCTCTTCCTTTTCGATCTTGAAGTACCTGAAACATAAACTAAAAACCGTAAGCATAAAGCTAGTGAGTTCCTTAAAATACCACATACCATACATAAATAAACACATAATGGGCCCTGCCCAATAAGTGCAATGAGTATCGCCCACACTCGCATAAGGGGCCCTGCCTACTGTGTATAATAGGCCCCGCCTAAACTCACATAACAGGCCCCGCCCAATGAGTATAATGGGCCCCGCCCAAAACTCGCATAATGGGCCCCATCCAACATACAATTCATATAAGCATATACATATACAAGAGAC